GGAACACTCATCCCCTGCTGGTAGGGCTGTAAATTTGTTCAACCCCTATGGAAAGCAGTGTGGAGAACTCTTAAAAAGCTAAAAATGAACCTACCATTTGGCCCAGTTATACCACCCCCCCTTAGCATATACCCAAAGAACTCATCCTATTGCAGAGACAGTTGCACATCCATGTTTGTTGCTGCTCTTTTCACAATAGCTAAGAGATGGAAGCAACCTAACTGTCCCTCAACTGACGAGTGGATAATGAAAATGAGGTATATTTACACAATGGAGTTCTACTCAGCAGTAAAGAAAGATGAAATCATAACATTTGCAGGTAAATGGATGGAACTAGAAACTGTTATACTAAGTGAAGTAACAGACTCAGAAAAAAAAAAAAAAAACATATGTTCTCCCTCATATGTGGATCAAATCCTTATAAGGACCAAATCCTTATAAGTGAGTATGTATCTAGATATAACTACAGAAACCAGGATAAAGGAATGAAGGAGGTAAAGGAAAAGAAAGAACCTGAAAGTGAAGAACAGTAGGAAACAGGTGTTACTAAGGAAGATATGGATAAAAATGGGGTTATTTAAATGGGAGGGGAGGGAGGGTTATATAAGGAACCTTGAGAGTAAAGGGAAAGAAGAAGCTCAAGGGAGATGGGACCATAGGAGAAGGGTATTATTAAGAGAGAAATGGGAAAAATGTAGAAACCATGGTAGAGGTGTTAGACAGTGAGAGAGATAAACAATGCCTAGCTAGTTTTAAAAAACCAGAGGGAACCATATTAGTCCAACAACCTACTGACAAATTATGCATACAACCAGATCAAAGAATGTAATATATGCCTAGGCAAGGTTTATCTGAGAACATCTGGTTTTTTCCCAAGGTTTATCTATGTAGCACATGGTAATTAAAAGTACCAGACTGTTAGAACTAACCTTCTTAGGTATTTAACAGCCATACTTTGAGGCCTATAGTAATCTCGTCAGAGGGACTTAAAGGACAGTTTTTGCTACTCAGCCTCCAAGGTAGACTAAGTTCCAGGGGGCTATGGAGCATCTCTCAAAATGTCCTATAACTGTGGTGAGTCACCTGTCCTCTTGTTCATAGAGGCCATGGAGACCCCATCAGATGGACTTGAACCAGTGTCCAGTCTACAAAGAGGAGGATCAACAAAGAAGAAACATATCCTCCATGCTTCCAAGTGAAGCCAGCCACGGTTGAGCAGGTCCTTTGATTTATCTTCACATAGATGGAACTGGTAAAAGAAAGGAGGCAGAGGCTCCTCCCAAGCCCATGTGACCCCTGAGGAACAGATCCTCAAATGACCTTAAGGGTAAAAACAAATTGGTTTATTTGGACCAACTGTATGGTCTTAAACACCCAAAAGGAAAGTATAACCAAAGATTAAAGTGATCAATATATTTCTTTTAAGAGTCCATGTGTATAGCCTAAGGCCAAATAACAAGAAACAATACCAGACCAGAGATACCTTCTTTTGAGTTGTTGGCCAAGATGGCCCAAGAGACTCCCAGACAGTAACCCAGTATAGAACTGGGAAAATGAACAGCAGACCCCAGTCTTACCTAAAGGAATGTTGGCAACTGATTGCTGCTAGATGAGGAAGAGCTGATTTTCCTAAAACAAGGGACTCTAGATAGACTAACTAGACTCAGCGGATGGACTTGCACTGGGGAATGGCTGGGGGCACTGACAACACAGTGGACAGTAACAGAGATGACAGAGTATATGGACTCCAGTGGGGGAAGCGGGGTTATGGGAGGGTGCCATTTGCAATGTGGGTATAAAGATGAATAAGATTGTTTGGGATGTTCTATACGAAATACACAAAAAAAATCAGTAAAAAATTAGAAAAAAATTGTCTAAAATACTTTTAAATTTTTTACTTTTTCGTATATACAAGTGTGATATATGTGCTTATGTGCATGCATGTTCATGTGTGTGGGCAGATGCACATGTGTGAGTGTAGGTGTGGAGGCCTGAGGTTGATTTTGAGTGACTTCCTTGATCACTTTCCACTTTATTGAGGCAGGGTCATTCACTAAACCCAGAGCTCCTGATTCTGGCTAGTCTAGCTAGCACTTGCCCCAAAGATTTCCTTTTCTCTATCTTCTGAGTGCTGGAAGTACAGGAAGCCAACAACACCACACCTGCCCAGTTTTTACCTAAGTTTGAAAGATCTGAAACTCAGATCCTCGTGCTTAGAAGGCAAGTGCTTTATCAACTAAGCATCTCCTCAACCCAAAATCTTACTTTTTAATTTTTTTAAAGATTTTATTGCTATTTTGTGTGTCTGTTTTATCTGCATGTATGTGTACCATGTGCCTGGTGCCAAAGGAGGCCAGAAGAGGGCACTGGATCCCCTGGAACTAGAGTTACAGATGGCTGTGAGCAGCAATGTGGGTATTGGGAGCCAGACCCCATTTGTCAGAAAGAGAAACAGTGCTCTTAAACCACTGAGCCAGTCTCAAAATTATACTTTTTTATCTTTTTGAGACAGGGTCTCCCTGTAACCCCAGCTGTCCTGGAACTCACTATGTAGACCAGGCTGGCCTTGAACTCATAGAGATCCACCTGCCTCTACCTCCCAAGTGCTGGGATTACAGGTGTGCACCACCAAAAAATGGCAGAGTTTTCAATGGTTGTCATGTAAAAACACATGACAACTACAGTAATTTGGGGACATTTAGGTTGCAATATATTACCTACGGCACAAATATAAAAAGTATAGTCCAAAAGTCAATAGATCCATTAAAATAGGACAGAAGTACAGAAGATCCAAGAAACAAGCCTTGGGTACATTAACATTCAGAGAGACACAAGAGGAATGAGAACCAGCAAAAAGACCAGAAGACAGTGCCTATAAAATGGGGAGGCCTATGTGTCGATTTAAAAACAATTAAATCTAGGAAGCAACTCAAAAGAGTTATCAAACAGAGGGATTGGTCAGTTGTCTCAAACTGATGGTTTTTGAAATAGCAGGTCCCATGAATGGAATAATGAGATTTAAAACCCCACTAACATGAGCTTAAGACAACTGAGAAATGGGAAGCTGGGACTGAAAACACCTCTTGTCAAGTTGCACCGTTGAGAGAAGAAAGGAGGCTATGGCTTGAAGGAAAAGCGGGCACAAAAACCACTGCTTCTTTTTAATATGAGTGCTGTGTGTTTTTAATGTTTCTTGAAAACTTACCTTCCCTAGTTGGTTTTGGCAGTAAGTTCTCTTGAAGAGCTGTACGAGTGTGAGCTGCTCACTTGAGCCTGTTGCTTTCTTCTGCTTAATCCTCTCTGTGGATGTTCCACCTCCCTCTGCACCTCCTCCCTCACCCAGGGAGTCCACACTAGCTCTTGCACTCAGACTTAACCATCCAGTCCTTGTGCCAGTTCATCCTGACTCACTGCCAATGATCTGCCAAAGCTCCTCAGTGTCTCACTGCCTCCTCTCATGAAATATTCCAAGAGACTTCCCTCCCCAAATGGTTTTCCCAGTGACACCACCTTCCTCCAGCTTCAAAAACATGTATTAACTTAAGTGCTCTCTCCTGCAAAATGTGTTCTATATAGTCCACCATAATCTTCTTTTGGTATTCCTCTCAGTCAACAACTTCCCAATCTGACTCTCTACCCATGACTTCTGAATTTCTCCAAGATCTGCATCTATCTATCAAAGGCTTAGGCCCATTGAGTCCTCTCTACTCCCATTAATTATGACTAATTCCCAACATCCTGCCTCTGTCCATGCTGTTAACAATATCAAAAATATCTCCATCCCTCCTCTGTCCTTGTAAGTCCTATCCATCTTTCATGACCTAGCTAAAGTCCGAACATCTCTATTGTTTCTGGACAGCTCCGGATCTCACTGAGATCCATCATTCATTATTAACATTCTGTGTGTGTGTGTGTGTATGTGTCTGTCTGTCTGTCTGTCTGTCTTTTTGAGACAGGGTCTCCTTGCAGCCCCAGCTGACCTGGAACTCACTATGTAGACCAGGCTGGCCTTGATCTCACAGAGATCTACCTGCTTCTGCCTCCTGCATGCTGGGATTAAAGGCATGTGCCACCATGCTCAACATTCATTATTAACATTCTGCACTGGCTTGTTGGCAGTCAGTTTTGTGAGTTAGCACTGTCTTCCTAACTAGACTACAAGCACACCCAATGTGGCAGTTTAATTAATTAGATTTATCCACATTTAAAATACATGTATAAGAGTAAGCCAGGGGCTGGAGAAATGGCTCGGGGGTTAAGAGCACTGGCTGCTCTTACAGAGGACCTGGGTTCAAGTCCCAGAACCCACATGGTGGTGACCCAGAACCCACGTGGCAGCTAACAACCATCTGTAACTCCAGTTCCAGGGGCTCTCACTCCCTCTTCTGACCTCTGTGGGTATTGCATGACATAGGTGCACTTACATACATGCAGGCAATACACTCACACACATAAAGTAAAAATAATAAAATATTTTCTAAAAAAGAAGCTGGAGAGATGGCTCAGCGGTTAAGAGCACTAACTGCTCTTGCAGAGGACCTGGGTTCAATTCCCAGCACCCACATGGCAATTACAAACCATCCTTGACTCCAGAACCATGGGAATCCGAAGCCCTCTTTTGACCACCATTGCATTGCATGACACATGTTCTCTCACATACATTCATGCAATACACTCATACACTTAAAATAAAAATAATAAATAAAATATTAAAAAATATTTTTCTAAAAAAAGAGTAGACCAACAGTACAGTACATTATAATCAAACAAAAATGCATTAATTAGTAACAATACTTGCACCCCAACAACATACATTCCTGAGCATGAAAGTAACACAAGGAAAAGCCAACTACATTAACCATCTTCGCATGGTTCGTCATTTGGATATAAGACACAAAGGCCATCTGGTTCTTCCAGAATCAAACTTCAAGTTTAAACCAGACCACTGGCTGCATCTTGTCATTTCAACTTCTGCATTCGCAATCTAAACAGTAGCTTACAGTAGTCATTTCGAAGACCAGTAAGATGAATCTTCACCTCCGGTTGATATATAGAATGGTTTTTGTCACTGAACTTTTCAAGATGGAAGGATTCATTTCTGAACCCATCTCTGCAACCTACAAGGGAAAAAAAAACAGTTCTATACATCTCTAGGATCCCATACATCTGAGATTTATCTTGCAGGTATTAGGAGATTGTAGAATGAGAAAGTGGTCAGTAAGGTAAAATTGTGATGCAAAGAACAGAGGAAGAAAGGAAATAAAGAAGAGTTCAGTACTACTTTAAATGAGATTAAAAATTACTCAACGGCACTTTTTAACTAAAAGTAGATGCATGTCAGACCTAAATGTAGATGAACGGTCTTCCGGGGAACACACTAAGTATTACGTCATGCTTTGAATATTCACTTATCCATTGAGATTCTTGAAAAAAGGTGAATTTTTGCATGTCTATATATCCATCACAGCCATGTTTACCTAGAAAACATAAACTCTTCTCTAAGTCTTTGTCCATAAATGTTTTTTGATATATTGATTTTAACTTTTCTCTCAATCTAACTACACCAGAACACAGTACTTTTGAGATAATTTTAGCCATGCCTATCTGTGGTCTTGATTATAGCTTTTATTTTGTTTTAAGTTTTTGTCAAAGATCCCACTAGTCCAAACCACTGACCACTATCTTCTTATCTCTAACCCTCAGCTCATGATCAAGCTGATAATGATATATCAACAGGAAACAAGATAGCAAGGTAACTTAAGTGACCTGTGTTCTCCGTGACTAAGTGGCTTTTAATAAAAGCATGAAAGTTTCACATGGTTGCTATACCAAGAAACCAAATTGTTGCTCATAAATGCTTGCCCCAGTGTTGGCGATGAAGACCTGCAACTGTCAGAACTGTAAGGTTACTGGAAATACTCAAGCTTACTAATGAAAGATCATAAAAGGTTTTTTAAAGAAATTAATATCCAAAGAATTAAGAGCAGAGATAAGGATGTAGCTCAACACAGACTGCTTGCCTAGCATGCATAAGGACCTGGGCTGGATCCCCAGCACCACACACATACACACATAAGAATCAACATCAAGATTAAAAAAAGAAAGCTCTTAGAACTAATGAGTAATGGGTTCAAGATATGAAGTTAACATACGAAAGTCAACTGCATTCATATATGCCATTAATAATTAGAATTTCAAACAGAACAAATAGTATTTATACTAGTAGCCAAAATTTAAAATACTTAGGCATAAACCTCAAAAAATTATATGCAATATGTATATGAGAAAAACTAAAACCCTTTGATGAAAGAAACCAAAGAAAATCCAAATATAAGGAAAGATGTTCGCACATACAAGAGTAAAAACCTGGTTGTGTCAGCATATAAATTCCTCCCGATTTGATCTACAGATTCAACGCAATCCCAGTCAGACTCTTAGCAAGTTATTTTATGGGCGTTAGTAAACTAATCCTAAAGGTTGTATAGAGACACAAAGACCCAGAATAGTCAACACACTACGACACAAGAAGGAATAATCCACACAATACAACACAAGAAGAACAAAGTGAAAAGACTAACATGATCCAGCTTCAAGACTTACCAGCTTCAATCAAAGCAGTATAATACTGGTAAAAGTTCAATGAAAAGGAGTGGAGAATCTAGAAATAGACCCATACTAATACCAATGTCTGGTTATTGATACAGGAGCAAAGGTGGGCAATGGAGAAAAGGTAACTTTCCAACAGTGGTGCTGAAACAGTTGACTAGTCACATAATGAAAAAAATGAATCTAGATACAGACCTTACACTCTTCACAAAAATTAACTGAAAATAGATCACAGATGCAAACTATAACTCTCCTAGAAAATTGTATAAGAATGAACTTGGGTTTTGTGATAACTTTTTAGATAGAACACCAAAAATACAATCTATGAAATAAGTAAACTAATGTGGGTGTTCTGAGCATGCCTAAGGTAGGGGCAGCTAAGGAAACTGTGATGTTTGGTTGATTCCATGTATTAAACACATTTTCAAATTACAATATTTTTAACTTACAAGAATATTTTTGGAACAAAGCCCTACCATAAACTGAGAAACATCCATACTTCTAGAAACCCATAAAAGAATATTTTCAGAGAAATTAAAGAAGATGATATATCCATGAAGCATGAATGGAACACTGTAAAAAGAATGTTGTTAAGAAATGACTCTTTAAAAATTAAAACTAGCTCAGCATAGTAGTGTATGTCTTTAAGCCCAGCACAGGTAGGGGCAGGCAGATCTCTGTGAGATCGAGGTCATTCTGGTCTACATAGTGAGATCCAGGCCAACTGGGATTATAAGGAAGCCTTGTCTTAAATTTTTTTTTAACTAGGGTGCCATGAGTGGTGGGGCATGGTTTGTAATCTCAGCGCTCAGAAAGTACAGACAGGAAGATCAAAAGTTGAAAGTTAGCCTAGGCTACATAGAGATTTTGACCCCAGCCTGGGCTATGTAGTGAGACCCTGACTCAAAAAAAATCAGCTGGGGGCTAGAGAGATGGCTGGGTGGTCTTTGCTACTATTACAAAGGACCAGACCTTAGTTTCTAGTACCCACACTGGGAAGCTCACAACTGTCTGTAACTTCAGTTCCAGGGGAACTGCTTCTGGCCCCTGTGGGCAGCAGCACATGTGTGCACGTGCACACACACACACACACACACACACACACACACACTCACAGACATACACACACATAACAAAGAAAAAATTAAATAGAATAGCTAAAATTAGAGTTTTAGTTACAAGGTAGAGGGTAATTAAGGTAGAGGGTAATCTGCCAGAGGGGAGCCAGTGGGCGCGGGGGTTAACAATTGGGTGAAAAATAGAACCAAAAAATCCCCAGGAAATCAGAAAATCAGTCTGGAAGTGTTAACATAATAATTTCAAATGGAAAGGAAAAAAACAAAAGTTTAAATATTATTAAAGAACAAATCAAGAAGCTTTTCAAGAATTATAGTATATGGGTCTCTAAGTAGAGGAGATACCAAACAGTGCTTTTTAACTCACAATGAGGCAGAATTATATTAATGCCAAAACTGATCATTTTGAAACTTTAGAACACTGGTGATAACAGGTCTTCCTAACAGTGGCCCAAGGGGCAAAGCAGGTGGCACATAGAAACAGAAAGTCAGAGTAGCATAGGACTTCTCACAGTGACACAGGTGGCAGCAAAGACAATCACTTCACGGTGCTGAGTGAAACTGGACTCTACAGTTAAACTGTGAATCAGAGATGAGTATGATAGACATTTCCAGAAACCACAGATCTAGGATCAGAGAGAGAAGTCCCAGGATTGCAGCTCTGTGACTGACCAGGTCTGTAGCCTGTTCCACAGAGGGAGGCACCAAGGGAGAGAGGGAACGGGAGTGTGGGTGAGTACACAGAAATGTTATTGATAGTGAGGAACAAAACATTAGAGCAACTGGGGAAACACTAGCTTCACAGACGTGTGTTAAATGACAAAAAACAAGTGAGTAAAACAGTCCCACTTGAAAAGAAGACAGCTCATAGTGAACATATGATAATATAACTCTGACTACTAATCTTATTTTTGCAAAGCATAATATAATTACATCCAGAAACTGAAGAAACAAGGCAAGAACTAAGTTCTTACCGCTATACTAGAGTCTTGATAAAGTCTAAAATTACAAGATATAGCAGTTTACCAAATAATACAGAGGAAGTTTTTACACATACTTGGGGAATGGCTGCAAGAACTAAGGGTGGTAGACTTCTAGAAAATGGGATGTGGGGGCAAAGGTGGCTAGAGCATAGGATTATGGGAATTATACAAATTTTGTAATTATGTTGATTTAATGGAAGGAAGGAAGGAAGGAAGGAAGGAAGGAAGGAAGGAAGGAAGGAAGGAAGGGAGAGAGGAGGGCAGAAAGGACAAAGAGCAGGGCTCTGTTCAGTACCTTTCCAGACACACTGAGATTCCTCACAGAGCTGCATTTTTCCATTAATTTGTTGAACCCCCTTCTGGGTTAAAAAGAGCTCGTTTAGGCATTTCTGGAAACAAATGCACATAAAACAAATACTTCTTTAGAAGGCATACGTGTATCTCAGATGTGATGGATGAAGACAGTTACAACTGAGAAGTCACTAGATAGTTCAAAATTTCCATGTTGTCAGAGGCAACACCACAATAAAACTTCATTTTTAACCAAATCACTGTGTGATGAACAGTGCTGAGCCCTTTACATACATTATTTTTAACCTCAGAAACTCCACACAGCAGGAATTACTCTGCTAAAGACTTTTTTTATTTTTCTAGCCTAAAATTTTACTTAGTATATAGTCCAAGCACAGACCTTTACTCATGGGAAATGGGGACAGCTAGTCACCGAGAGTTTAAGTAAGTTCCATAAATTTTCATAAACAGAAAAATCTGATGCCGTTTTATTGGGGTAGTGCATAGAATGCTCTTCTGACATTTTTTTTCACCTGATTTTGATCAAAACAGCCATAAAAATTAGAAATAAATTCAAAGAAAAGTATTTATTGGCATTTTCTAAAAATGTAATGATGACAGGGTAAAGCAGAAAATGAACAAGGACATTCGCCTCAGTAGTATGCAAACTTGCTTTCGTGTTTAACAAATGGTAGGATGATATGCATACCAAAGATTGGTTTAAAAGAAATTTCTTTATTATGTATTATCAGTATATGTTTTATTTGTATATCTATTTTATATACACATATACCCAAAGTTATATAAAAATTTCTCAGCTGAAAAGGGGTCACAAGTGGAAACTTTAGAAGCCCTCATCTAGAAAAAGACTGAAATTCATGCTGAGAGGCCTTTTAGGCTGCCACTCTAGAGCAAACCAAGACACCTTGTAGCCAGAAACCACAACAGAAAGAGATCTTTTGGCTAAAAGGACGCATAGCATGATTTGCATCATCTTATATTTTAATCTTTCCTTCTTTGGTTTTTATTTCCATTCTCACTTTTTTAAGTGGTCCTCACACACTTTTTCTTGTATTGTGAGGAATTTTTTTCCTCTATGAAATGCTTCTATTCAAGTCCATCACTTGTCCCGTCATTTTCTTATTGATTCACAAGGACAACTAAGCAGCTCTTTCCTCATATTCAGGACTTGGTTGTCTAAGCTTCCCTGGATGAGGGTCCTTCATTTTGTCCCTCTACCTACCTGGCCTTTGGCAGCAGTATTTTCCTTCCCACCTCTGTCTGAAGGCGGTGTCTTGCAAAAACGGACAGTGGAGTTACTTATTTCAGAACTTCCTTTCACTGGGGTCTTCAGTGGTTCTTTGTTGAAGGATCCTATAAGAAAGACATTTAGCTTTGAATTTGCTTTTTAAAACAACATAGTCACTTTGGTTAGAGGTGTGGCAGTGCTATCTTTCACAGAAGAATAGAATGTGAAAGCCTGAGGTCTCTTAGCAAAATCTAGGAAGGAGAAAATGGAAAGGACAGGGCCTTGTTCAGAGCCCTGGGCTCATGCCTGAGCAGTCATAAGAAACTGCCCCAGTGGCCTCTAGAGTTAAAAGGAAATAACGTAATTAAAGGCTTGACTCCAGGTGCTGCTACAACAGTGAAAATGTTTTAGTACTGCATAAAAAAGCAGACTTGCGTATTTGGAGAATACTAGAAACAGTTTGATATTTTAAATGATGCTGCAAAGAGCATCTGCCAAACAAACATCCTGCCAGGACATCCCTGTAGGATGCTCACATTGCCAGTTATCGGTCTTCATTACACAATCCTGAGTGTATCACTTTGCCTCTTTCCTGTTGCAGAAAGATGCTGTAAAGGTGGTCTGAGAGAGCATCAGTGAAATATTTTCTATGTAAAAACAACAGAAACCAATACTATTTGCATCAACATTTTTCTATGTATCCAGTGATGGTCAGCTTTAAGCCTCTACTTGGCACAACCTAGAATCTCCTGGGAAGAGAGCTTCAATGAGGAACTGTCTACATTTGGTTAACCTGTGGACATGTCTATGGGAGACTATCTTAATTAAGTTAATTGATGTGTGAAGGCCTAACCCACTGTGGATTGCACCATTCCATAGGCAGGGAGTCAAGAACTGTATACAAGTAGAGAAATAGAGCTAAGCACAAGCAAGCAATGAAGTAGGCATGCATGCATTTATCTTCTCTCTGCTCTTGGATGTGATATGACTAGATGCCTCCTGCCGTGACTTCCTAAAATGGTCAACTACAGCCTACTGCTGAAAGCCAAAGTTGCTTTTTGTCAGGGTATTTTATCACAGCAACAGAATAAGAAACTAGAACATGTTCTTTTCTCAAGACTGATAAAGCCCTTTACTAGACTTTTAACTTCACAGGATACCTGTCAGGTCATCCTCAAAAAATAAATATCTAAATATCTAGCCAGGTGTGGTGGTGCATGCCTTTAATTCCAGCACTTGGGAGGCAGAGGCAGGTGTGACTCTGTGAGTTCAAGGTCAGCCTGGTCTACATAGTGAGCAAGTTCCAGGCCAGCTGGGGCTACAGGGAGACCCTGTTTCAAAAAGACAAAAAATTAAATAAATAAATAAATAAATGATAAATATATTACTGTTCACCAAAGGGGCTAAGGGAGCCACCAGAAAACTGTGGTTCTTTGCCATGTGTGCTGGATAGTTTTAGTTGTCAACTTGACACACCTGGGTTGAGGGAGTCTTAATTGGGGAATTGCTTCCTTTGAACTGGCCTGTGACCATGTCTGTGGGGTATTTTCTTGATTATTGAGTAATGTGGGAGGGCCCAGCCCAATGTGCAGTGCTACCCCTGGGCAGGTGGACCTATGTTGTAAAAGAAAGCAGCTTTAGCAGGAGCCAGGGGAACAAGCCAGTAAGCAGCATTCCTCTATGGCCTATGCTCTAGATCCTGCCTCCAGGTTCCTTCCCTGAGTTTCTACCTTGAGGTCCCTCCATGATGAACAGTGACCTGGGAGATGTAAAAGATAAATAAACCCTTTCTTCCCCAAGTTGGTATTGGTCAGAGTGTTTTGTCAGGGCAATTGAAGGCAAACTAGAATACCATGTGACAATGCTTTCTGCATTTAGACCATTCTGAGCTTGATAACCTGTCACTCATGTTCTTACAGTCTGGCACCCCAGTCCCTAGGACTCAAAGTATAATGTGGGCATTACTTTAAGGAAAGCGAAGATAAAAACATGAAATTTTCCTCAAAGTTTTAGATCTGGTTCTTTACTGTGAAACACATTATTTGTGTGCTATTTTTAGAAGAGCTTCAAGTGATAGAGGAAAGGCTGTGCTTAGCATCAGCAAGGTGGCTCAGTGGGAAAAGATGCTTGCCATGCAAGCCTAGCAACCTGAATTCAATCCCTACAACCCTCATAAAGGTGGACGGAGACAACCAACTCCATAAAATGTCCTCTCACCTCCCTATGTACACTGTAGCATGGGAGACCACACACATAGATCATGAACACACAAATAAAAATGAATAATGACAAGCTGTACTTAGAAGCTGTCAGTCCCTCCAGCCTCAGAAAGCGAGACCCGGCAGGTTTTGTGCACAGAGCATGACTACAAATGGACCTCTCTGCAGTTTCCTTTGGGGGATGGTGTGTGTTTGTCTAAAACAAAAAGAAACACCTCCAACAAAGTACCTAAAACCAGTGGATCTGGTTATCTCTCTGTGCTAACTAAAGTACAAAAGGGAATGGACTTTCGTAAAAATCCTTTTAATTAATAATCTTTGCTTGGCATTTTCAATTTCTTACACAATGCTTCACTAAAAAGCAATTGATAAGTGAGTCTCTAGCTCAGAAAGGGCCAGGAAGCCCTGAATTTTAACAAAAAATTCCCTTAAACCAATCAACATTAAAACTACCCCCCCCCCAATGACATTGAGATACAAATGATTTCTTATAACCCTTTATCTCCTGCTGCTGCGGGCAGCTAATTTCAGAATCGATAGTCACTATTTGTGGGGTATTCCTTGGTTTATAAAGATCTGGGCTCCTTTTCAATCTTCAAAATTATAGTGCCTCACTAAGAAGTCAGTGCTACTGTTAACATCACCCTTAATAAGCATGTTGAACTGGGGCACAGTGGTTCACATTTGTAATCTCAGCACTCAGGAGGCTGAGGCAGGAAAATCATAGCATATTTGAGGCCAGTGTGCTCTACATAGTGAGTTACAAGCTAACCAGGGCTGCATAGTAAGACCCTATCTCAAAAAGAAAGAAAGAGGGGCTGGAGAGGTGGCTCAGCAGTTAAGAGCACTGACTGCTCTTGCTGATGATCTAGGTTCGATTCCTAGTACCCACATGGTGGCTAACAACCATCTATAACTCCAGTCCCAGGGAATCTGACATCCTCTTCTGCCCTCCTCAGGCACTGAATGACACAGGTGCACCTACTTACATGAAAGCAATACGCTCAAACACATAAAACTAATAAATAAAATTTGTTTTTAATTTTAAAAGGAAGGGAGGGAGGGAGGAAGGGAGGAAGGAAGGAGGAAGGAAGGAAGGAAGGAAGGAAGGAAGGAAGGAAGGAAGGAAGGAAGGAAGGAAGGAAGGAAGGGGAAAGAAAGAAAACAAAAAGATACCGACACAAAATCCTGTTGTATAGAACTTTCAAAGTGTAGAATAGGAATTAAATCATTATATGACAGGTGGAAAACTTTGCTTCTGAAAGATGGAAATTGTAAAAGCTGTGCCCAGGTGAAACTCACATATCTCAAAAAGAACTTGGTTTCAGGGCTCTGACAGGTGGATCCTGGGTGCGGCCCATCATACAAGGGTTTTGGGAGCCCATTCCCCAACCCTGCCACAGGGCAAGCATCACACTATCTCTCTCCCTCTCACTTGCTTTCTTCCTCTTCACTCTCTTCCTCTCTTCTCTCCTGCTTTCATCCTTTTTTTTCCATTTCATACCGTTACTAATACATTTTTTTTAAGATTGCCATCGAACAAGAGCCTTACCAAAGCCATTAAAATGCTGTATTCTGGCCCGGCGTGGTGACGCACGCCTTTAATCCCAGCACCTGGGAGGCAGAGGCAGGTGGATGGATCTTTGTGAGTTTGAGGCCAGCCTGGTCTACATATTGAGTTCCAGGACAGCTGGAGCTACAGGGAAACCCTGTCTCAAAAAGAC